CTCATGGATATTAAAGGGAACATTTTGAAATAGCATCTTTAAACGACGGTAGAAATATATAAAACGATTGTTTTTCTTTCAGTACAAAGCTACATAATGGACTATCTGCACTCTGTCCACTTTATGTAATCGAACCCCGGATTTTAGCTTTGTAAATCCGCAAACTTACCCCTGACCCACTTGGGGGGTGAATAAGAAACGAAAGTAATTCAAAGGACAAAATGATCAATAGAGGAATGGAAGTATTCGTTCTACCGGTGAGAGGTATTTAAGCTATTAATATACTTTAACAAGAATATTCAACGCATCTATCACTGAAATGACCATTAATGTAAGCTCAATTTCAAACCAAATCAAGTGTGTTATTCATAACAATACGTTAACACAAAAATTCCCACACAGCAAAAAATTGTCCAAACAGGACAGATTATAACTTAATCACTCTGATAACGCAGAATTTCTGGTAAATTTGCAGTAGAAAAAAAGAAAAAACACTTTCCTATATAGACTATGAAATTGAAAGAACCGCTGTATGCTGGACTTTTTTAAATTGCCAAATATAAAGATCAACTTAGATGCCACTCTTCAATAACGTTTGTTTGAAGTTAAGCACAAAGCTACACAATGGGCTCTCTGTGCTCTGCCCACCTCGGGTATTGAAACCCGGTTTCTAGCGTTGTAAGTTCGCAGACATGCTGCTGTGCCACTGGGGGGCATTGCAATAATGAGATTGATAGCACGATTGTGAACCTATTTAACGTAAAAGTACAACTTCCTAAGCTATTCTTACGTAAATAACTCATTTTTTACTTTTTAAAAACATGATAAAAATGTACGATTCGATTTCTAGCAAATTGTATTGTTCACCCCTAAGTAAATCTGCTGAACATACGATCTCTCTATTTTATAGAAATACCAAAGCAAATACTTATAAAAACTAAAAAGAAGAAAAGAGAAAATTGTTTATTTTTGAATATTCACACCAAATTACTCGTTGGCTTTCTGCACATAGCCGTCTCTAACTATTAACTGATAAAGGGAAAGCAGCTTGTCAACAGCATCCACACCCTTAAAATGCGGAGTTTTTTATTTTGTAGTACGTTGGTTGTTTTAGAACAAAGCCACATTGGGCTAGCTGCTGCGTCCACTGCAGGGAATCTAAGCTAAGATTTTAGCGTTGTAAGTCCGTTGGGCCCACTGATTTAGTCCGGCACTCTGACACGCTCAATTTGCATGAGAAGTTACTATATTGCACTCAGTACAAGTCGTCGAAGTTGTTACGTGTGTGTGTACGTTTAATGTTCCCAGAAAATGAAAGAGTTCTATATTTATATAGATGGTACAATTTACACATTAGGCATATTTTTGTAAAGCGGTATTACAGAGAAATGTACTCCGTTTCAACAGTTACAATCGTGACTTTTTTCTGTTAATACTTCCCAAATATACCTGTTTTTATTCTCTCTTCTTGCTCTAAAAGTTAATTTTGCCTCTGGATAAAGTTTCTATATAATTGAAAAAAAAAAAGAGCAACGTGTATGCGTGTGGAAAGGCTTGTTAAACTTCTTTAAACTACACATAAATGAAATTAGGAGTAGGGGAGTACATATAATGTCACTATATGTGTGGGGGGGTTAGTGTAGATAGTATTACGCATTGATAAATTGATCTATCATCACTCTGAGCCCCATCTCAGACAGCAGTGTTTATATATCAAAGTTCTGTGCGTGATTTCTTTATATAGACCGTTAGAGTACCAGTACTGTCACACCCTATTGAGTTTTAATACTTGTACCCAATACCTGGGTTTTGAAAACGTTGCTCTATGTGATGTTCCTTATTAGATGAGTTAGTCATTTAAGATTAGACCGTTCGGCTCAATGTGCCTTTTGTACTAGGGGTGGGTATCACGTGTTGTGGAACAGGTTCAACTCCTTTAGGTTTGACCTCGCAGCCACTGGGAGGCCCGCACTGCCATCAGAATCGTTTAGAACTCTAGTACCTCTTAAATAAGTAGTCTAGATAGGTCACTGTACTGTTTTAATTACTTTAGCTTTATATTTTATAAACTATGTGTATCAAAAACAAAATACCACAACAACAACAACAACAAAAAAGACAAACGTTTTGTACGCGAAGCACGAGTTCTCATCTCGTGTACTAATTATGCCCTTATTATCATTAATCTAAGAATCTAAATGAAAATAAATACTTCAACACCACACAGGTTTGTGTTAAAATTTTCTTTAATCGTAACATCGATTTTTTTTATACAATATATAGGAATATATACAAACAATGGAAGTGGTATTTTTTCATTTTACGGGTTTCATTTTTTAGTACAAAATCAATTCCGACTGTGATGTTGGCGTAAAAATAACTGCAGATGGCAACGAATCCTACTCTTAACATTTTTAAATATTAAAAGACAACGGTTGGTTTAAAATGTTTTCTCTTGTTAAAATCTCAGTATATTACACCAAACCTAATCTTGCACGCTGAGGTTCCGATATCTAACACTTTAAATCCGTTATGGTACTTCATATTGTACTTTTCTTTGAATATAACGTTCCAGTTTTGAGAATAATAACTTTTAAATGTTATAAAATGTACAAATTCCTCGTATCACAAAAGCTTAATGTATAAATTTCGTACAACATTCTGTGTATAATAAACATTACCGAAATATGAAGTCAATAAACCCATCTACAATACTGGGCGATTATATTTATTAGCTTGACATTTAGAATTCTCTCTTAAATTTTTACAATAAAAATGTTAATTATGTCATTCTATTTATCCTTCGTCTGCAAAAGAAGCGTCTAATCATACACAGACCTAGTTTTTCAGAATTTTAAGTTTTTTTCCAGAGGAGGTAGCGTTTGTCATACCTGCCAGAAACAATATAATTATGCACTGAACTGTGTAATAAGACAAGGGTTATTCTAGGACTACACATGGGATAGTTGGCCTTTATCAAAAAAATATAATAATTAAATAAAGTTTCAAAACTAACACTGGGATCTTTTTGAACACCTATTTTTGCGGACGTTAATAAACAAAAGTAAAATATTACAATCGATTTTCTTTATCAAAATAAGAGCTGACATAAATCAATTACTCTAATTCAATTGTTTAATTAGTATGGGTCATAATTTACCAGTATGTAAAAAAAGGTGCTTAGCTTTAAAATTATTATTCAATAAATTACAACAGAGATTACTGAACTGAATTAGCTGGGTCTTAACAAATGACAACAGAGATTACTAAAGTGAGTTTTAATAAATGACATCAGAGATTACTGAACTGAAGTAGCTGAGTCTTAATAAATGACAACAGATTAGTGAACTGAATTACGTGGGTTTTAACAAATGACAACAGAGATTAGTGAACCGAATTAGGTGGGTTTTAATAAATGACAACAGAGATTACTGAACTGAATTAGGTGGGTTTTAATAAATGACAACAGAGATTAGTGAGCTGAATTAGGTGGGTTTTAATAAATGACAACAGAGATTAGTGAACTGAATTAGGTGGGTTTTAATAAATGACAACAGAGATTAGTGAACTGAATTAGGTGGGTTTTAATAAATGACAACAGAGATTACTGAACTGAAGTAGCTGAGTTTTAATAAATGACAACAGAGATTAGTGAACTGAATTAGGTGGGTTTTAATAAATGACAACAGAGATTAGTGAACTGAATTAGGTGGGTTTTAATAAATGACAACAGAGATTAGTGAACTGAATTAGGTGGGTTTTAATAAATGACAACAGAGATTACTGAACTGAAGTAGCCGAGTCTTAATAAATGACAACAGAGATTACTGAACTGAAGTAGCCGAGTCTTGATAAATGACAACATATTACTGAACTGAAGTAGCTTGGTTATAATAAATGACAACAGAGGTTAGTGAACTGAAGTAGCTGAGTCTTAACAAATGACAACAGAGATTAGTGAACTGAATTAGGTGGGTTTTAACAAATGACAACAGAGATTAGTGAACTGAATTAGGTGGGTTTTAATAAATGACAACAGATTACTGAACTGAATTAGGTGGGTTTTAATAAATGACAACAGAGGTTACTGAACTGAAGTAGCTGAGTCTTAACAAATGACAACAGAGATTACTGAACTGAAGTA